CCCTAAACCCTAAACCCTAAACCCTAAACCCTAAACCCTAAACCCTAAACCCTAAACCCTAAACCCTAAACCCTAAACCCTAAACCCTAAACCCCAAAACCTTAAACCCTAAACCCTAAACCCTAGGCATGTGTTTTCTATAAAACGTTTTCTAAGAATTTTTTTTCCTTGAAAGTTTTTTCCAGAAAATGTTTTCTAATGCAATATTTTCTTTGAAAGTGTTTTCTGGAAAGTGTTTTCTAAGAAAATATTTTCCTTGAAAATATTTTCCTAAGAAAGTGCTTTCTTTGCAAACCTTTTTCAGGAAAGTGTTTTCTAGGAAAACATTTCTAGGATAGTGTTTTCTAGGAAATGCTTTTCCAAGAAATTGTCCATTTTCCAGGAAAGTGTTTTCTAGAAAATCCTTTTCCAGAAAATTGTCTAGGAATATGTTTTCCTTGAAAGTGTTTTCTAGAAAATGCTTTCCAGGAAAATGTTTTCCTGGAAAATATTTTTCTAAGAAAGTGCTTTCTAGAAAATCCTTTTCCAGGAAAGTGTTTTCTGGGAAAACCTTTTCCAGGAAAGTGCTTTCTGAGAAAACCTTTTCCGGAAAAGTGCTTTGTGGGAAAACTTTTTTCAGGAAAGTGCTTTCTGGGAAAGCCTTTTTCGGGAAAGTGCTTTCTGGGAAAACCTTTTCAAGGAAAGTGTTTTCTGGGAAAACCATTTCCTAGAAAGTGTTTTCTGGGAAAACCATTTCCTGGAAATTGTCCAGGAAAATGTTTTCCTTGAATGTGTTTTCTAGAAAATGTTTTCTAAGAAAACATTTTTTGGGAAAATATTTTCCTAAGAAAGTGCTTTCTAGGAAAACCTTTTCCAAGAAAGTGTTTTCTGAGAAAATCTGTTCCAGGAAAGTGTTTTCTGAGAAAACCTTTTCTGGGAAATTGTCTAGGAAAATATTTTCCTAGGAAAGTGCTTTCTTGGAAAACCTTTTCCATGAAATTGTTTTCTAGGAAAACCTTTTCCAGGAAAGTTTTTTTTGGGAAAACCTTTTCCAGGAAAGTGTTTTCTGGGAAAACATTTTCCAGGAAATTGTTGCGAAAAATGTTTTCCTTGAAAGTGTTTTCTAGAAAATGTTTTCTAAGAAAATGTTTTTCAGGAAAATATTTTCCTAAGAAAGTGCTTTCTAGGAAAACCTTTTCAGTTTACTAGGAATACCTTTTTCAAGAAAGTGTTTTCAAGGAAAACCTTTTCCAAGTAAGTGTTTTCTGGGAAAACCTTTTCAGGAAATTGTCTTGGAAAACATTTTCCTTGAAAGTGTTTTTTAGAAATTATTTTCAAAGAAAATGTTTTACTAGAAAATGTTTTCTATGAAAACGTTTTACAGGAAAATATTTTCTTCTTCCATGAAAGTGCTTTCTAGGAGAACATTTTTCTAGGAAAACCTTTTCCTATAAATTGCTTTCTGGGAAAACGTTTTCCAGGAAATTATTTTCTAGGAAATTGCTTTCTAGAAAAACATGTTTTCTAAGAAAGTGCTTTACAAGAAAATATTTTCTAAGAAAGTGTTTTCCAAGAAAGTGCTTTCTAGGATAAGCTTTTCTAAGAAAAGGAAAATGTTTTCCAAGGAATGTGTTTTCTAGGAAAATGTTTTCCATGAAATTGTTTTCTACGTAAACCTTTTCCAAGAAAGTGTTTTCTAGGAAAACGTTTTCCTAGAAAATGTTTTTTAGAAAATGTTTTTTAGGAAAATGTTTTACATGAAAACATTTTCTAAGAAAATGTTTTCTAAGAAATTGCTTTCTAGGAGAACCTTTTCTAGGAAATTGTTTTCTAGGAAAATGTTTCTTCAGAAAACGTTCCAAAAAATATTTACTAGAAGAACTTTTTCCAGAAAATATTTTCTAGAAAATGTTTCATGTGAGAAATTATTTTCTAGATGAAAATATTTTCATATGAAAATGGTTTCTCTATAAAATGTTTTCTAGAGAAAACATTTTCTAGAAATCGTTGTCAAAAATGTTTTCTAGAAAGTGTTTTCCATAAAAATGTTTTCTAAGAAAGTATTTTAATAAACCCAATCATGAGGATAAATATACGGTTCAAGGAAAAAGAAAAAATAGAGCATAACTTAATTCATCCACTAAGTGTTGTGAGACGAGACTACTTGATACAATTAGTAACTTCAATGAACATTTCAACTAATTTAATGCCCAAGAACGTACATATTACCGGTTCATTGGCAGCTTGTGACTGTATTGATTTAATGCTCGAGAACGTACAAATTACCAATTCATTGGCAGCTTGTGACCGTCCAATTTTTAGAGGATGAGATTTAACTGTTAAAAAACTGAAATTTCAAATTTTGTTTTTTTTTAAATAATCATCCAAAATTTTAGATTGAAAAAATCCTCCTTAGTAGGTGATCTGACCAAGGTAGAAGAAGTAAACTATGCTCCCGAGGGAGCATAGTATACGTGCTCTTCATTGAATCTCCTTCCACCGCAATGGAGGGGCCCCATCTATAATCATACAATTTCAGCCCCTCCAGCAGTGCAAAGACTCAGCTTTGTAGAATTTGTATGGTCCAGTTCCAATCCAATAACCTCTCATGCTCCATACCTTTTTTACATGAAATAATATACATTTGCCCTTCAGACGAAAACAAAACTTTTACAATGTTCATGGCTATAGAAGCAAACTGAACATCAACTAACACATCAATCACAAAAAAAAGTGGCACATCTTATATCCCTTACTTTTAAAATTTATGCTACGTTCACAAAAAACTCATCCCACGTCTGTGGCACATCTTATATCCAAATAGAGACCATAACAGCTTAAAAAAAAAAACCATATTGGAATAAAAGGAAATAAATATGGCAGATTGGGCTACAAACCATTTTCCATGCATAGCCAATCCATGCTTAAATGAGAAGGATGTTAGAATTCAAATTTGATTTAGAAAAGTATTAACATGGCTACTCCATAGTTGACTGCGAGCACTTCAGCTAAGCATGCATACGAATTGTTTAGATATTGCCTGGTGTAAATGGAAATTGCCTAGGTACATTCAACTCTTTATCTTTTCTCTTTTTTTTTTGAGGAAGTTTATATCGGAAGAGAAAGATAAAACAAAGAGAGAGAATGAATTTCAAATGAATTTTAAAAACTCGTCCCATGTCTGTGGCACCATTTTATATCCAAATAGAGGCCATAACAGCTAAAAAAAAGAAACCATATTGGAATATGAAGAAATAAATATGACAGATTGGGCTACAAACCATTTTCCATGCATAGCCAATCCATGCTTAAATGAGAAAGATGTTAGAATTTAAATTTGATTTAGAAAAGTATTACCATGGCTACTCCATAGTTGACTGCGAGCACTTCAGCTAAGCATGCATAAGAATTGTTTAGATATCGCCTAGTGTAAATGGAAATTGCCTTACATTTAAGTCATTATCTTTTCTTTTCTTTTTGAGGAAGTTCATATCGGAAGAGAAAGAGAAAACAAAGAGAAAGAGAATGAATTTCACTCAACAAATGCAACCATGTTAATGCAAATAAAAAATGAAGAATGCATATAGTAGAAAGAAACTCCACCTTAATCCTAGAGGGACTCTCCATAAAACTCATTTTGTATGTACTTGACCTGGTAATGGGGGGAATCCAAGATTTTCTCATTCAGCACTACAAGAAAAAAGTTGTCAAATCCCAATTCACAAAAGCTATCATACAAATATAAATAAAAATCAATAATGCTAAAAAATTGCAAGAGACACACGCTATCTACTATAATTGAGAACTAAATAAAAGCTATGCCCCCAAACAGTCACAACATTTGGCGTTAAAACCAATACACATTGGAATAACATAAGCCATATTGGAATAAGAGGTAATAAATATGGCACATTGGGCCACAAACCACGTTCCATGCATAGCCAATCCATGCTTAAATGAGAAAGATGTTAGAATTCAAATTTGATTTAGAAAGGCATTCACATAGCTACTCCTTAGTTGACTGAGAGCACTTCAGCTAAGCATGTCTAAGAATTGTTTAGACATTGCCTAGTATAAATGGAAATTGCCTAGGGACATTCAGCTCTACATCTTTTTTTTCTTTTTTGAGGAAGTTTATATCGGAAAAGAAGGAGAAAACAAAGAGGAGAAAAAAAATGAATTTCGCTCAACAAAATGCAACCATGTTAATGCAAATAAAAAGAATGCAAATAATAGAAAGAAACTCCACCTTGATCTCAGAGGGACTCTCCATAAAGATCAGTTTGTATGTGTTTGTTCGAAAGTTATGAAAAGAGCATCCTTGACTTGGTAATGGGGGGAACCCAAGATTTCCTTCATCAGCATTGCAAGAAAGAAGAAGACAGATTGTCAAACCCCAAATCTCAAAAGCTATCTTACAAATATAAATAAAAATTAATAATGGTAAAAAATTACAAGAGACGCATACTATCTACTATAATTAAGAAATAAATAAAAGCTATACCCCCAAACAATCACAACATATGGCGTTAAAACCAATACACATAACAGCTAAAAAAAAGAAGCCATATTGAAATAGGAGGAAATAAATATGGCAGATTGGGCTACAAACCATTTTCCATGCATTAGCCAATCCATGCTTAAATGAGAAGGATGAGAATTCAAATTTGATTTAGAAAAGTATTAACATGGCTACTCCATAGTTGACCGCGAGCACTTCAGCTAAGCATGCATAAGAATTGTTTAGATATTGCCTGGTATAAATGGAAATTGCCTTACATTCAGCTCTTTATCTTTTCTTTTCTTTTTGAGGAAGTTTATATCGGTAGAGAAAGACAAAACAAAGAGAAAGAGAATGAATTTCACTCAACAAAATGCAACCATGTTAATGCAAATAAAAAATGAAGAATGCATATAGTAGAAAGAAACTCCACCTTAATCTCAGAGAGACTCTGCATAAACCTCAGTTTGTATGTACTTGACCTGGTAATGGGGGGAATCCAAGATTTCCTCATTCAGCACTACAAGAAAGAAGTTGTCAAATCTCAATTCACAAAATCTATCCTACAAATATAAATAAAAATCAATAATGCTAAAAAATTCCAAGAGACACACACTATCTACTATAATTGAGAACTAACTAAAAGCTATGCCCCCAAACAGTCACAACATTTGGCGTTAAAACCAATACACATTGGAATAACATAAGCCATATTGGAATAAGAGGTAATAAATATGGCACATTGGGCCACAAACCACTTTCCATGCTCAGTCAATCCATGCTTAAATGAGAAGGATGTTAGAATTCAAATTTGATTTAAAAAGGCATTTACATAGCTACTCCATAGTTGACTGAGAGCACTTCAGCTAAGCATGTCTAAGAATTGTTTAGATAATGCCTAGTATAAATGGAAATTGCCTAAGGACATTCAGCTCAATGTCTTTTTTCATTTTTTGAGGAAGTTTATATCGGAAAAGAAGGAGAAAACAAAGAGGAGAAAAAGAATGAATTTCACCCCCAAACAGTCACAACATTTGGCGTTAAAATCAATACACATTGGAATAACATAAGTCATATTGGAATAAGAGGTAATAAATATGGCACATTGGGCC